CAGTATTTACTTTAGTCTGTTCGTCACTAGGACTTCTATTCCAGGACCATCTCTAAATGTATTTAAGGGAAATAGGTAAAGGTAAAGTTTAAGGTTCTCCTCAAACGTATGTGCTGGTCATTCCTGACTCTAGGGGGTGGTGCTCATCTCCATTTCTAAGCCGAAGAGCCAGCGCTGTCCGAAGACGTCTCCATAGTCATGTGATCGGCATGATTAAATGCTGAAGGCGCACCGAACGCTGTTCCCTTCCCACCAAAGGTGGTTCCTATTTTTCTACTTGCATTTTTTACGTGCTTTTGAACTGCTAGGTTGGCAGAAGCTGGGACAAGTAACGGGAGCTCCCTCTGTTATGTGGTGCTAGGGATTTGAACTGCCGAACTGCCCACCTTTCTGATCGACAAGCTCAGCATCTTAGGCACTGAGTCACCGTGTCCAGTATACTATACATAAAATACTATAAAATTAGCCTAGCTAAAAAGATAGGGAGAGGGAATATGATGAGAGAGGGAAGAGCTGGGATCGCTTGCTAATCTATCAACCACTCCCAAGATGAAGCCCCTCCCTTGGAGCCCCAAGCCAAGTGGGAGGTCTTTAAGCTCTTAAGGAAGGTCAGGTGGGTTGGAATTGCCCTTACTTGGGGGGATGGGAGAGGATCTAGAGGGCAGGTGCAAAGGCAGAGAAGGCCCTTCTCCTGGACCCCATCTGCCAGAATTTCCTGGCCAATGGGGCCCACAGCATGCTTCCTCGGCCAGCACAGCTGGGGCAGGGTAATGGCCTGAGCCCATGGGTGAAATGTTACCAGTTCGGACCAGTTTGCCCAAACCGGTAGTAAAAAAATGCTACCATTTGGACGAACCAGTATTTCCAACTGGTTGTGACATACGATTTATATTAGCTAGAATCGTCGGATTTCCTGCTTTCTACCTAATCTAAATCACGTGGCACAGTGGATTCCCCCACGCCCCGCTGTTCTACTTACCTTTGCAGACACGCCTGGTAGCAGCCTCTGATCACCCTCCCAATGTCATCACGTCCATTTTTGACAATGTGTATGCATAGAAGGCTCACACACATGCTCACATTTACGAATTGGTAGCAAAGGTAAGTAGATTTCACCCCTGTATGAGACGGTCCTTCAAGTAACTTGGACCCGTGCCGCAAAGGGCGTTAAAGGTAGCTATCAACACCAACTGTCCTGCTGATATCCTGTATACTGCTTTGACTTTTGTTTCTGAAAATGAACAATAATATTGTCCTTAATAAACCACTCTTGCAGGGCGCAGGTTGAAGAAGGCTGGCATAGGCTGGGTAGGATGCGTCTTCCTTGACCAAGCAGCTTCTTGATATCATCTTACAGGCCACCGTTCGCCCCAATGGCCCCCAAAAAGAAAAGCTCCAAAAAGAGCAAGCCGGTGAAGAGAGACACTCCTGTTAGTGTCACCTTAGCTGAAGATCCTTCTCTTGACATTGACCAACATCATCAACTGGACAGTTTGTTCGAAAATGGCTCTGATGGCTTCCTTTGCACCGCCACAGAAGTCACCAATCCAAGCCATGGAGCCAAGATGCTGATGGAGATGAGCTCCCTGCAGCAGGAGCGCTTCCTTTGCGACCTCACTGTTGCTACCAAAACCAAATCGTTCAGAGTTCATAAACTGGTGATGTCCTCCTGCAGTGACTATTTCAAAAACCAGCTGAAGAAGGATCCCAGCCTTCAGCAAGTGGTCCTCAGTGACATCTCCTCCTTGGGCCTGGCCACCGTCATCTCGTACGCGTACACGGGAAAGTTGAGTCTGTCCCTGTACACCATCGGCAGCACCATTTCCACCGCCAGCCACCTCCAGATGTACGCGCTGCTCAACATGTGCTCGGATTTCCTCATCCAGGAGATGAACGTGGAAAACTGGATGTATATTGCCAACATGGCAGACACGTACAATCTTGGTCGGATTAAAGATGCTGCCAGGAGGTTCATTCGGGAACATTTCCTAGAGTTCTCGGAGACGGAGCAGTTTTTGAAACTCACCTTTGAACATTTGAACGAATTGCTGATGGATGACAACCTGGAGTTCCCAAGTGAAGTGATGGTCTTCCAAATTGCCATGAAATGGCTTGAGTTTGATGCCAAGAGGATCAAGTACGGGGCAGATCTCCTGAAGAACGTGCGGTTCGGCACGATCCCGGCTCATGACTTGATCAACTATGTCCAGCCTGTTCCGTGTATGATGCAGAACCCGGAATGTCACAAGCTTCTGGTAGACGCTATGAATTATCATTTGCTTCCTTATCAGCAAAATGAGCTTCAGTCCCGAAGAACCAAAATCCGAGGGAGCCAGAAGGTGCTGCTTATAGTTGGCGGGCGGCCATGCTCTGCAGAGAAGTCCCTCAGCAAAGACGTGAGCTACAGAGATCAAGAAGGGAACTGGAGTAAGCTGACGGAGATGCCCACCAAATGTTTCAACCAATGCGTTGTCCTTATGGACAGCTTCCTTTATGTGGCAGGCGGTGAAGATCAAAATGACGCCCGGAACCAAGCAAAACATGCCATTAACAACTTATGCAGGTAATAAAAATACAAAAGTCAGATCTTTTGGGAACAGCGAAGAGGTTTAATATGGGAAGCGGATTGAATGCTGGGCCAGATCATTGTTCCATGTTACGTCTTTCTGTCGTCTTTGTTAGGGAAAGGCCCAAATCATCAAGGAAAAATGTGTTTCCCAGGTCTGGTACTGCACTGCTGCTGCAAGTTAGGAGACTGGATATTCTGATGCTTCCTTTTAAGACCTGCCTGAGTTTTGCCCCATTTTATGACCTTTCTTGTCACAGTTGTTAAGTGAATCACTGCAGTCGTTAAGATAGTAACACAGTTGTTAAGTGAATCTGGCTTTCTCAATGACTTGTCAGGAGGTCACAAAAAGTGATTCTATGACCCCGGGAGACTCAAACTGTCATAAATACATGCCAAGTTGCCAAGTGCCCTAACTTTAATCCCCTGATCATGGGGATCCTATAAAAGTTGTGTGAAAAACAGCCGTAAGGCTTCCCCCCCCCCCCATAACTTTGAACAATCATTAAATGAGTAGTTGTAAATCGAGGACTACCTGTGGTTGATGCATGGGAAATCCTGGTGAAAATCCCAACAAACCACATTACATTTTACTATATTATATTAAGTGAACCAGGCCAATGAATGTTTTCTCATACAAAAGCAAATCATTGCTTAATTGTGGTTTGTTATGGAAAATAAAGGCTGTGCTCATCTATTATATTAAACCAGCAGCACTTGGCAGGAGCAGGGAGTGCAAAAGGCGACTGACCAGGAAGTGTTTTCAATTACGCAGCTGCCATCTTGCATTTTGTAACCAGTGTTTGTTACCAGTACCGCTGCACTAAGCAAAATCCAAAGAGACCAGGGGTGGGTTTCAAAACTTTTTAGCAAGGGGTTCTCTGCCTGGTTGCTGGGTGGGCGTGGCCATGGTGGGTGTGGCCTAGTCGGCCTTCTGCACCACAGTGGGGAGGGGGCGTTTTTGCCCTCCATGGCCTCCGGAGGCTTTCCTTGGGCCTCCTGGAGGCTGAAAATGGCCTCCCCAGGTTCCAGAGGCCCTCCAGAGACCTTTCCCAAACTTCCAGTAGGCCCGCTTTTGTCCTCCCCAAGCCCCCGTGCTTGCTCGGCACTTATCTGCATCCAAAACAGGCTGTGTGGGGACTCCCAGGAGGGGTGGGTGGGGCCAGCCAGGAGTGGGATTTGGGGGTACTCTGAATTGCACAGAATCTTAGCTAGAGGTTCTCCGGAACCCCTGCGAAACCCCAGCAGTCCACCCCTGAAAGAGACCATGTTATGGTTTAAACCAGGGGTGTCCAAACTTGAAAATTTTAAGACTTGTGGACTTCTGGGAGTTCACAAGTCTTAAAGTTCCCAAGTTTGGACACCCCTGGTTTAAAAAATATTTGAATATAGCCATTTGAATACACTTTGTTCTGATTTTAAAAGCCCAGAGAATATTAAAGATATATTAAAGAACTCTTTCAAGGCCTCTAGTGAGGCCTTGATTAAAACAAGAAACTTTGTCCCAGATCTCTGTTTCCCGGTGTTGGCAACTCTCAGGTGGGTGAACTTCAAATCCCAGAATTCCGCAGCCAACAGGGTGATGGGTGAGAATCAAAGTCCTCACAATTGAGAGACATTGATCAAGACAGTGATTCCCAATCTTAGCTGATTGAAGATGTGTAAACTTCAGTTCCCAGAATTCCCCAGCCAGTATAGCTTCAATAGGAGTTGATGTCCACACATCTTCAACCTTCTAAGATTGAGAAACGCTAGGCTTGATGCTGCTACATTGGTGCCTTGCTTTCCTGATTCCTAATGCATTGGGTTGGATTTATATTTTGCATCCAGATGTGTCTGGGAGGGAAGACAAATCAAATGGCAACCTTCAATCATGCAACCGAAGCTCAGCTCCTTTTTCACGTGTACAAACAGACATCAAAAAGGACTGACTTTGATTGCATGGTGGTTCTGTATTGACTTTTGTAGACCTGCATCCCTCCCAAATTCTGGCATTAGTGCTCTCCTCCTTTCTGCCAGGCTCTTGTGCCAAGCCTCATGGTTAGAGTCTCCAAATGATACCGCCAAACCCTCAAGAACAATCCTCCTCTTTCTCCGCAGGTATGATCCACGGTTTGGCACTTGGCTACACTTAGCTAACATGACCCATAAAAGGACTCACTTCAGCCTCAGTGCTTTCAACGGGCATCTCTATGCGGTCGGAGGCCGCAATGCAAAAGGCACCTTGGTCTCTATCGAATGCTACATCCCTTCGGCCAACAGCTGGCAACCCAAAGCCAACATGGAGCTGCCACGCTGCTGCCACGCCAGCGTGGTCATCGATGGGAAGATCTTGGTGACTGGTGGCTACGTGAACAATGCTTACTCCCGGACCGTCTGCAGCTATGACCCTGCCCTGGATTCTTGGCGGGACTGTAGCTGGCTGAGCAGCCCTCGAGGCTGGCACTGCGCTGCCATGTTGGCCGGCCGAGCCTATGTTCTGGGGGGCAGCCAGCTGGGCCCCCGCGGGGAGAGGGTCGACGTCATTCCAGTGGAGTGCTATAATCCCTCCACTAACCAGTGGAGCTTCATGGCCCCCTTGGCCACTGGCCTGAGCATGGCAGGGGTGGCCACTCTCAGTGGGCAAATCCTCCTCGTTGGGGGATGGAACGAAAGTGGGAAAAAATACCAGAAGGCAATTCACGCCTTCAACCCTGATCTGAATGAATGGACCGAGGAAGGGGAGCTTTCGGAAGGCACCGTGGGGGTGTCCTGCTGCACCATTGCTCTTCCTCATGCGAACACCCGGAGTTCCAGAGCTAGTTCGGTGGCCTCGGCCTCTGTGAGCATGTAAACGGAGCTGGAAATTTGGGTTCTGGTGGCTTGTAGAGTCAGGGGCTTCACAGGAAAGGTGAAGGATGCGTTGAGTTTGCTGAAGAGAGTTCTCATTGCACAGGTTGTTGTGGGTTTGTGGTTCATGTCCCAATAATAACACTATTTTTTTGATGCTTGAATTTATCTGTAGACCTTTTCACATAATTCCTTTGGGGAACTGAAAATTGAAACATGTCCACACCTGATTCATCAGACATTAATAGCAATAGTAATAGAACGTATAATATACCACTTCATAGTGCTTTTACAGCCCTCTCTAAGTGGTTTACTGAGTCAACATCTTGCCCACAACAATCTGGGTCTTCAGTTTACCCATCTTGGAAGGATGGAAGGCTGAATCAACCTTGAGTCTGGTGAGATTTGAACTGCCAAACTGCAGCTTGCAGTCAGCTGAACTAGCCTACAATACTGCACTCTAGACACTGCACCACCTCGGCTCTAATGCACTTCACTTCTGCAAGCGACCTCTCTTCCTCAGTCTACAATCTGAAATCTTCACCCCCTCCACCCAAAACTAGACTCTACTTTTAAAGGATTGAGAAGTCCTGGGGAGGGGCTGTTTTAATGAATTTGGTGACCAGCTTTTTGGACACCTCAACCCTTAATTAAAGGCCAGCTACATTGCGTTTTGTTTGAAGTAGTCTAATCATCTAGCACTCTACCATTCTTTATAATGAATCATACAATCATAGGCTGGAAGGGATCCTGGACGTCTTTCTAGATTAACCCCCTACTTGTCCAATCTCTTCATGAAAACCCCCAACCAATAGAGTAGAATAACAG